ACGCGGGTTTCGATCAAGTCGCTTCTTTACTTTTCGAACCATTTCTGCTGATGTTGCTGTTTTCTTCCGTCCAATTCCTTGAAGTCGGCTATGCTTGGCTACCAGTATCACACCAGAATACAAAATATGTATTCCCATTTAAATGCTGGAGTGCTCTAACGATAACCACTTGTGGTTTTCCAGCCAAATTTTAAGAAATCACACTATCACGCTTGAATTCCATCACGAATAACTTTTTTCTGGAAAATTCTCACTAAAATGCTTTTGCACTTTTGCAAGGTTGGCACTAAAAACTACCAAAGTGTCGATCAACTTAAGCAAGCGCTTCGCCGCAGAGCAACCTTCGGGCAGCGTGTGACGGTTTCATTGGCCGTGTGAAGGCCATAATTCGTGCCAAAGGTGACCAATTCAAACAAATCTAAACTTCTTCTAAAATTTGATGCTATTTCCGACATGTCTTGCTTTCATTCAATAAAATTAAAAAAAAAAATGTAAAAATTATGGTGTTTGACTTTTTTGCAGTTTTTATCTCACTCTGTATATGTAGCTATTCCTGTATATAAAGCGAACTGCATTGCTTTCTACAATTGACTTCTTCTAAACCTATAAGTTTTCTACAAAACTCTTTAGTTATATGAGGCACTAAGGACAACAATTTAACTGATATTTCATCTTTCTTCGCCCGGTTTAGTTTTGTTTTAATTTTGTATTTAAGCAATTAGATGCATAGGATCTGAGTGAAATTATCTTATCATGCCAATTCCTATTATGAGCTATCATCTCATTCGAGTACAAATGGAAACGGTCTTACCAATTCACTTGAACCTCTTCTATGTATGATTAATAAATTAGATGCTAAATAAAGAGGCCGAGATACCCATTTACGGATAGAAAGAAACTATTAGTGTTGGTAGAAAAAAATGGGTACGCCGAAAAATGTCGATCGTTGAAAAACTGCTATTTATTCTAAAAGAGGGGCTTTGAAGGGGAAGTTAAGTTCTTTTAATATTTGGTTGTTTGTTTAACAAAAGCTAAGGGTAATGGATCGCTTTCGCTAGAACACATTTACACTTAAATCGAAATCGTAATAGAAGAATTCGTCATAGGGATATTAGATTATGTAATCGCTTTGACAGCTCTATTTACTGTTTAAAGGATTAATTTTAGGATTTATATTGAACGGTTCAAAAATATCGTTTCAAAAACTGTGCCGTATGTGTCTGATCTTTAATGTAATCTTCGAAGAGACTTTTAACCTACCACTTAAACAAGAAAAAGCTAAAAATCGATTTATAAATCCATCCACTTTATATTCGGTTTAAATAGTAACATTCATAGAATCTTTCGAGCACTTTAAACTGAGTCAAATGCCATGCTCCACCAATTTACATTCATTTGTTCAGACGTACATGACTTACATACACTTGTATCTATGTACCTACCCCAATACCATTCAACAAACAATTCGTTTGAACTCTTTTTTTTTTTTTTGGAATATATGAAAACGGTTGGGCCCAAAAAAACAACTGTCCAAATACAACAAGTGCGGCAAAATACCAAAGATTTTTATTCTAACAAAAACTGACACTTTTAGAAAATATTGAAATGTAAAACATACAGCCGACTAATACAAATAAACAAATCTAAACGTGGAAATGGAACAGACTGAGTTGAAAATTTAATACATATTTTGTTGTATTTATTCAAACGTAATTCTTGCTTTCAAATCGATGGCTATATAGTTTAGGATCTAATTTGAAGAAAATCAATGTTACAAACCCACAGCAAAATAATAGGGTTTCGTTAAAAAAAATTGCACTTTATTTAATGCAATTTATTGCATTTAAAAATTTGTAAATTGTTTGAATACATGAATTTCTACATTATTAACATTTGATTAAAATATATAAACATATCTAATAGAATACACACAACAAATACAGCCTCAGGAAAAGAAATAAAAGCACTCATGAACACCAAATATGTAATGGAGGAAAATTGTTTAGAGACATCTGTTAGGGAAAGAAACTTTGCTTTTAGTGTACTGTACAAACACGCGTCTGTGTTTATTAGCGACACCTATATGGAATGTTTATCAATCTACAAAACGATGAAGTTTTGCCAACAACCATCAAAAAAAGAAAAAATACCATATATTCTCAAAGGGACTATCCGAATATTTTATACCCTCAAAAATGATTATAAAAGTATATTTTTATTCCCTCCACCATTAAATGGTGGATATATTAAATTTGATTTTCCGTTTGCATTTGTCGGAGACCCCATAAAGTGCATACATGGGTCAAACCATAGTAGAAGAATATAGGTAGATGCATTAACGCTTGGGAACATTGATATGTCAAATATTTATAAATGTTTCTTCAATAATAAGTATATTTATAAATGTTTTCTTACACGACACCAATCGGAGGTTGTTATATATGCATTTTTTAATTTTTTTTACAAATTTGAGTAATTTATCATTCGAAAATTTCGATTCCAAAATTGGTTTGACAGTTCATTGTCCCAGCAACTGTGTCGACGCGTCTACCATGGATCAAATATAACGTAGTAAACATTTATTTTGATCGATCGATTATCACGAGTAACTCGGATAAAAATCTCTAAGTTATCGTTCTAATAGTATGTTTACTGTTTAACGTATTATACCCAGTGAAAAAATGCATTTATTTTAAAGGAAAGATGTAATAATGAAAACCCGATTATGTCAAATTTATCCTAAAGTTAGGGATAACAAAAGTGGACAATAAAGAAGAGCTAAAAGAACGGGTCATAAATTGTCAGCTGCATTTGTGGACCTGTGACAGGCTGTAATACCCATTACGAACTTACAATACGAAATTTGAAATTATTCTGGTGGCTAAAATCGTCGAAATACGAATATCTGATGTAATTCGAAACATTTTATTTTAAGAAGTCTATTTGTAATTCGAATTGAAATTCAAATTATTTCAATTGAAATTCGAATTATTTCAATTGAAATTCGAGAATTCCAATTGTAATTCGAATTATTTCAGTTGTATTTCAGTTGTATCCAATTTCAATGCGAACTGTTCCATTTAAAAATCGAAAAAAAATTGAAATAATTCAAATTAAAAATGGAATAAATTGATTTACAATTGGAATTATTCGAATTACAACTGAAATAATTCGAATTACAATTGGATTTTCGAATTACAATTCGAATGAATTGAATTACAAATATAGATTTCTATGCAAGGATGTTTCTTAGGATAATAAGAAAGCAAATACGGTTTAAAATTGTGACTAACCACACAAAAAACTTAGATCTTCCAGTAAAGTTATTTGGGGACTGCAGACCTAACACACATCTGATAAAAAATTCGACAAACAATTTGATACTGATTAAGAATATATGTATTTTGTGGGGTCTAAAGTGTATATTTGAGGTGTTACAAGCTTAATGAACCTTCAATACCATGGTACATGCAGGTAGACGCATTGACACAGCTGCTGGGGCAATAACCTGTCAAACCAATTTTGGGATTGAAAATTTTGAATGAAAAATTATTCAAATTGGTAAAAAAAAATCAAAAACGCATATCTTAATAGCATCCGATTGACGTCGTATAAGAAAACACATTAAATCTACTTATATTTGAAAAAAAAAATACATTTTGATATTCTTCTACCATGGGTGCAAGTGGAATCAAGAAGGTAAGGTCATACAATCATATGTTACATTTTTTCAAAATTAGTCATTTGACAATATCTCATTGTAAAAATGTATATTTAGAAATCGATTGTATACTTATAAATCGGAGATAGAAGCCTGCAGTAAAAGCTTAAAACGCGGTAAGTTCAGCTGGGTCGAATTTAAATACCCTCCACCATGGGTCCACTTCCATTTTGGCCAGTGAAATGGTTTGATTAAAAGTCTTTAAAATTCATCAAGTTGATGGCACCGATTTCCTGCTACCGTGGTTGTTAAATATCAAACTTGAAAAATTCAGTTCAAAAATGTGACAGAACCCATTTCAAGCTCTACATACCGAAATAGGAATTTTAAATACCGCATTTGAAATAATTATTTAATTATAATACAAAATAATTACAGTTATATGTGAGCTATATGAAAACGTGAACCTATATACAATGATCTGACACAGGTGGAACCCATGATGAAGTCTAAACACCGAATTTTTAACAATTCCGTTAAAAAATGTGACTAAGTCATCAAAATGCAAAATATTGAGAGTTACCGTTACATGGGGACTAGAAATAGTGATATAAATACAGTTTATGAGCGATATGTCCTATCTTGATACCAAATCTAGAGATGTTAAAAATATTGGAATTGCGACCATTATTCATTATTTCATATTGTATAAGAGTTATGATTATTTAAAATTGTGTGCCTTTGATGGGAGGTACCAAGAGTGGGCCGATATCGTTCATTCTCACACCTGAGCTGGCACTGCTATAGATGTTAAGATTTGTGGAGTATTAAAAAACATTGGAGGATGTTTCCCTTTTTATGAGGTAAATTATTGAAAATGTTGACCTGTTATGTGGGAGAAGGAGTAAGCCGATATGGCCTATCTTCGAACTCGATTTAATTTTGATAATACTATTACGATGCATCAAGTTTGGACGAAATCGCATACTCCCTTCAAGAGTTTTTGTGCACCTCAGCCAAGCAGACTGACGGACGGGAACCTTTGGATCGACTCCAAACATTCTGAAAAAGATTTTGTCCAAAGAGATTATATCAATATAAATATTGATTAGAAACTATTGGTAAATAGAATTTTCTTGTGGAAGATATTGACACTGTTACAAACAGGTATAATGATTATGTTATGTTTTTCATTTAAAAATTTTGTTTTGTCATGTAAAATAAAAATATTTTGTTTTATCTTTAAAATTTGATCACTTCTTGGTAACACTTTCGGATAATTTTGGTGGATAATTTCTTCACTTAGTGGCAACCGTGTTTCACATGTTTTAAATTCGATTTACGAATCCCTATCAGTCAACATTTAAAATCTTTGACGAACGGTACGGTGAAGGAACAGCGAAAAGTGAAAAAAAAATTGAAATGAGTGTCACAAATCGATTATTAATAACAAAAAGTCTATTGAATTTTACAAAAAATCTCCGACCCGTGCAAAGAAATCTCAGTGCTGTGCGTTTTACGCCTCAGAAACAACGAAATTATGTGAAATATATGCTAGTGGTTGGTGGCGGAGTGACGGCCTTTATGTTTGCAAATTTCATGAAAACCAAATCCAATCGACATGAAGCTCTCAACTTGAAACGCATGAAGGTGAGACCAATCGGAGTGGTGATTAATGCATAAAACTTGTTTTCGGTTGTGCTTGAAAGTGAGAACAACAATTTAAAATTCAATGTGAAATTAAAAACAAAGAAATTGAAATTTTCTTTGCTACTTCGTCGTGTGCCATTTTTTGCCTGAATATGGTATATTTGTGTCTATTTTTAGCGAGTCCATATTGACACCTTCTTCGCTTTGAATGTTTATGTGTATTTTTATGGTTCTGTTGATGGATAAATATACTCTCTCCCTCTCTCTGAGTCTATGGAAATCAAATCTCCCTAATCAGCTGTGTTTGTTTATATTACTTTTTCTGCATAGGGCTGCCAAGTTTTCATGAATCTTGACCTAACAACAGTAGAGTATATTGCCCTTAAACTCCATTCAGTTATTATACTATGCATTACACTGCGAAAACGGAATATTATTAATTTAAATGTTTGTGGCATACAAGGAATTATGGATAATTTTGCCGACGTCATCGACCCTGATAGAATATTAATATGGAAGCTGGTGGAGGAACAACTCTAGTTTAGTTAAAAAAGTAAGATTTTTTCGAAATTTTTTTCCAGAGGTAGATATGTTTACCCTGATTCCGGGAAACTTTTTTTTTTTTGGGGGGGGGCAGACCCTATACCCCAGATTTTTGACCCGAAAGTCCAGGTTCAAGTCCTGGGCTAGTTTGGAAGCATTAGACGGTGTGGGACATACCTAGAGGAGAAAATCTTCAAAAGTATTAAATTTAAAAAACATTGGTTCGCGTTAGCCTGTGTGGGACATACCCAGAGGTGACAGTTGTTCAATAAATATGACCAACCGAATTTAATGAGAATCAAGTTTTAGTTATAAACATGGCTGAATAAGAATGGCTGCTCAACTTCAAAGAAACTAGAAAATGCAACTCTGTACCGGCTTCTTATAGTGTCAAATAGATTTTTAAACATGCAACAATTGGTTTTGTTTATTTTTTTTTTTTTTTTTCACAAAACTACTTTATTGGAGAAAGCCAACAAAACCTGAATGGAATATTGTGGTTTCGCCACAAAATTGAATCCAAGATATAGGGACAATATTGTTTTATTACAATATTGTTTTATTACATCTGGAAAAGTATGCATTTCTGTTGTATCTAAATGTGAAATAATTTCAAATTATTTCCTTTTTTATTCAAAACATTACATACACATATACAAACTGTGTATACCCAACATACCAAAAATACAATACAGCTTGAGAATAATATTATGAAAATAGTTTATCATAAGAATTTTTCAACAATGCTTGAGAAACACTTTTTTGCACAAACTTTTCTCAAATCTGTCCTTTGTTGACAAATTTGTTTTGATTTTTTTTGTGAAAATTGTCAACAAAAAATTATTTTCTTTGGTTAAAATCAAAATCACGCGAATTTAGGACCCATTTCCGGACGAAACTCTAAGCTAATGATGAATAATAAATCTGGGAATCTGTAGTATAAATTATTTCAATCTCATTTCAGAATGGAGGCGTCAAAAAGTTGCAGGAATTCAACAGAAGTGAAGAATAAGTAGAGGAGATACAGAAGCTCAAATAAGGGGAAAGAAAGCATCTAGGTATCAAGGCAACAGGATGCAGTGACAGCTGGGATGGCAATCAATGAATGAAATGTGTAAAATAATTAAAAAATGAATAAATAAATATTTTTTACCATTGGAAAAATAAGCTTTATAAAATATTACTTTCGTAAGCTTATTCTGCAATTACAAGAATAAGCTTATGAATAAGGGTTCCTTTTCGATTATTCTATAATTGTTAAACAAACATTTCTCAATACATTCTCAAGATTTTCTCAAGCTTTAGGCTTATGTTTGTAAGCTTATTAAAATATTATTCTCAAGTCAATTTGGTATGTTGGGTTTGTTCTACCTTCTGTAGTTGTGTCATGGTTATAAACTAATATCTCTGGACCCAGAAAAGGTATTAATACGAATTGTAGCATTTTCGAAAGGTAAGGGTTTCAGCTTGAATGTTTTGTTTTTTTTTAAAAATCCAAAAATTCGATAATTTGACTATAATTTCCGAACTGCTTCTTGTTAGGTAGGTATTTTTTATAAGCTTTTCAACTACATTTTCCATATCGGTTAAGTGGATTCGGGTCTAGTCCGGGTATTGAGCTCGGATTTTCCTTCAAAAAGGGTCCCGGGTTCGTCCCAAAATAAAAAAAATTTTTCCCATACCGCCGGAAAAAAATTAAAAAAAATGAAGAATTTTTATTAAACTAATTTGCTTTAATGTGGGGTTTTATACCATCTTTTTATCCGTATGATATCTGTCGATTGTATTTATTTTCTATGTACCAGAATTCTAATCAAATTATATATATTTTGGTATTTTAGTTTCGATAAAAACAGTCCAATTGGAATTTCGTTAACATCAAAGAATGCATATTCGTCAGAAAAATAATATCTGGCTTTTAATCGTTCATTCTCTCCTTATTCTGCTAAATGTATTTATATGATTGTATTGTTGATTTAATCTCCAATTTATAACTAGAATTTGGCCATTTAAATAAATTTAAGATACATATTTGATGCTACTCTTCCACGTAACCAACTTGTTTTTAAAAAACGACTAGCTTATTGGTCACAAGTTTTGTTTGCATGTGAGAAGTTAACTTATTTTGAAACGACTATTTAGAATATTCCACTTGGAAAGTATCGCCTCAGATCTAATTGCAAATTTGTCAAATACATATTAAAATAAACTTGAGTCTAAACAGAGACTAAAAGGTCGAACAACATATTTTCAAGAGGTTCTATTACTATTATTGGATAGTATAGACGTATATTTCATTGTTATCATAAGACTCCAATACTTGTTATCACTTTCAACATTGTCTATTGTATCAACGATTTCATTCTCATTAAGGTTGTTAACCCATCCACAAAATTTCGTATCTTTGCACTCAATTCTGAACAACAACAGACATTGGTATTCCGATCATAATAGCTGATAATTGTATTTCAAGTTCGCGTTAATTGATGACGAATATCTGATGTAGATATTTTTGTTTGTCCCAACAAGTAGATTTTTTTAACAAATGGAATGCTTCATCAATGCACAGTTAAGCAAATATATTGAATTGATGTATCTAAAATTTACAAAGCAAAAGCTGCAAAAAGGCAGTTCTGGAACAAAACAAATATTCAAAAAAAATGTATAAAAATTATAACTCAGCATTTTTAGATATTTTCTTGAAATAACAATTTTTTTTAATTTTTTATACCCTCCATCATGTTGATATGTTAAGCTTGTTATTCCATTTTTAACTCTTCGCAGTAAGCTTTTTAGACTCCACTAAATGTATACATTCTCGATTGGCCTAAAACTCGATATCATATAGTTCTATGTTTAGGAATATTATATATATTGTGCTTCGCCCAATTTTAGGTATTTTTGAGGTTTCCGTAAAATTTTTCGAAAATTAGCAGAAAACATTTTTGCAAAGAACTTTCTGGAAATGAAGCGAGGAACCTCATTTTGTAACCATTTTTGGGTGGCGCGTGCTGAGTGCTATGGTGCAGAGTCCTGTTGGAATATCCAAGGTCTGCGGATAAAATGTTTGCGTGCTCAAGTCTTTAATACACCCTCTTGAATAGTTTCGCAATAAGATTCGGCATTTATTCTGATGCCACGATTGATTAATATGAGTGGAGAGCGACCATCGGCTGTTATGGCGGCCCACACCATCACCATGGCCGACGCTTGAGTTCTGGTGGCCAACCGAAGGTGAACATTTTCAGCTGACCTCTTTGGCAAGTAAACACGATCATTTTGTTTGCTTACAAACTGCTGGACAACGAATGTTTTCTCTTCGGAGAAACCCAAATTCGGTAGTTCACCATTTTCTCCCAAGTGAAGCAACATTTTAGATCTTTTGAGTCTATTTTCTTTCTTTTGCGGTGTAAGTTCTTGCACTTTTTGTAATGTCAAAGGTTTACCCCGCGCTCATTTTTCAATATTTGGCGAATGAAATATTGCGATATGTTCAGCTCACGAGCCATTTTTCGGCCACTGCGACGAGGATTACGATCAAGTCGCTTCTTTACTTTTCGAACCATTTCTGCTGACGTTGTTGTTTTCTTCCGTCCACTTCCTTGTCGTCGGGCTAGGCTACCAGTATCACGGTAACGAGCGATGGTACGAGACACAAAAGATTTATTCACATTTATATGCTGGAGTGCTCTAACGATAGCCACTTGTGGTTTTCCAGCCAAATGTAAAGAAATCACACTATCACGCTTGACTTCCATCACGAATAACTTTCTTTCTGAAAAATGCTTTTGTACGCTTGTAAACAACGTAATAAACTGTCACTGGACAGCAGTCTGAAGTTGCTTGCAATTTTTCATCTCACCCAGTATATTTAAAATGATTGGATTCCAAGGAATCTTAATTCGAAAAATTTCAAATGTGTGAAGGGAAGAGGGGAGAACTTGTACGCTCTATTTCGGTTACTTTGCTATGTAAACTTTCCAACGTGTATGGATCTTCTATTTTTAGATCTACTTCCATAATCTACTGGGGGTTTCCTGTACTGTGTAATAGTATAACACATTTACCAGCCTCACGTAAAATGAAAATTACTAAAATTTAAGAATATCCTTACCTTATTTGAATAACACCTAGTAATAATCGATACAATGTCAAATCTAAGTAGACCTAAATATTTACATTCGAATAATTTTGGCCTGATTTTATTATTTATTGCATGACAAAGAAGCGGATGTGCAAAAGATCAGAAATCCAGACAGCCATTGTGTTATTTACGTTTAGAAGCCATCGAAAACAGTCAGCCAGTCATAAAAAATCATGTTACATTTGTTAACACACCTTCGCATTCAGGAGAATGGGATATGTGACGTTCATCGCTATTGCTTTTTTAATTGTTTTCGGTTTGATAATCGACCCATTACTGAGATCTCTAAACACCGATAAGAAGATGAATGAAT